GGTAGCTTTTTTAATTGGTTCTCTATTTTGAAGCAAGTCAATCAGCTGAATCCGAGTGGGAAATTTAGATTTCTCCCATATTTGTTTCTCTTTCAGAGGGCAGGGAGGTCTCCATGCAACAGGCGGCACAATCCGACATATGCCGTACGATTCTGCTTTAGGGCGCAACTTATCTATGTAAGCAAGTGGATCTTCAAAATCCTGACCATGATAGGCATCAAAGGGATGGAAATTTCAAAAAAGACAACACTTGAAATTACCAAGACCAAACCAAAACTGCAGATAGAATATACAAAAATACCTCATTAGTGGGATAAAATATGGGAGCGTCATCAACCGAAGGCCTGCAAGATTCTGATGGATTCCACCTAGCAGTTATCTCAAGTACGCAAGCAAACAATATCATTCAGGAATCAGTGTTATCCATGGAGATTGCTAAATTCTCGAGAACCAAACAATTGGATAACTAAACATCAAGCAAAAACAACAAGAACCACTCTAAGAAACTCAGAACATGAGATACTCATAAGAATGAATAAAGGATTTGATCAGAATCAGAATTCGATAGATCCAGACTCGGTTCGGGTGTAGCAAATATACAAGTCATTTCCTTTAGCATCCATCATCTTCTAGCTAACCAATACTTGCAAGAAGCACAAGTAATAGAAGACTATGAATCATATATGCTTACTTTTGGACTAGAAGGACTAGAGTCAGGCTCGAGGCTACTCTCCCTTTTCATCGATTCTTCTTTATCAGAATCCTCCTGAGAAAATACACAACTCCAAATTCAGAAACTGTAGCAGTAATACAGAAAGAGAGAATCATCTCTCTATCACTCTAATACATGCAAATTAGACTGATAGGGAGAAAACAAAAACACAATTAAAGAATCAAAAGGATAAGAAACAGAACCTCCATAGCCATAGACTCTGCTAGAGATGCAAGCTGGTCCATTTCAAACTGAAATTAGGTTTACAAAAAGCTCCGCAACCCTAAGAAAGAAAAGATCCGTCAAAGAAAAACAAACCCTTACTTGTGTATACAGAACAGAAAATGCAGTGCCGTTTCGAAACCCTAAAAACCCAGAAAGCATAAAGATTGTGTAACAGAGAAAGAGAAAAAAAGCAAACCCAGAATCTGAAACTAACCCAGTTACAAGTATTGCTTAAAGGATCGAACTTTACAAAACCCAACTCAAATTATCGCATTTGGATATGAAATTCATCAAGAAATAAAACCGCTAATCTGGTAAAAAAAAAAAAAGTCACTCTCTCTCTCTCTTTGTACAAACGCAAAGGGTATGGGAGTAATAAAGAATCTTAAAAGGCAGAAAGAGAAAATCTTAGGTATACGACATTAAAGGGAAGAAGATGAGTGTACCTTCGGGAAGGGGCCAAGATTCCGACTAAAGTTTTTCTCAAAACTTTTACAGATTGAAATTTGTAACGTATATCTAAAACCTTTGGTTAAATATCGATGAATGAAAGAGTTTTTTTTTTTTTTTGGTTTGTGTGTATGAAATAAAAGCAGAGTTTTGTTAGGGCAACGAGTGAGAAAGGAGCAATCTTGGAGTCCGATCTAAGAAATATCTAAAAGGTTAAAAAGAAAAAAACAAACAAACAGAAGCTTATACTAAATCCGATGTTTTAACGGGATTTAGCATCTATACTTTTGTGTAAGAACCAAAATCTTTAATCCATTTATATCAAAAAAAAAAAAAAACCATTTTCTTTACATTTATATATGAGATATATCTAAGGACTGTTCAATCCATATTAACCGATCCAAGCCAATCAAAATTAAGCTGAAATAATTAATTCGAAAACTAAACCACATTTTAATATAAATTAAATGGATAGATTTATTTTATATTCAAATAACTAAATTTAATTACGAAAAAAAAACAAATTAAAACCATTTTCCCTTTTCTTTAAGAAACTAATGGTATACAACAACATGAATTTTAACCGGAACTAAAACCGTTTCAAACTATTTATATATACGATTTTACCACAGAAAATTCTACATGACTTACCAAT